AGTTGCCGGGAAAAATCGGAAGTTACTCGGTCATGAACTTGCTTATATCTAATCGAACATAGGCACAGTTTAATCTGAATTTCTCGACAATTAACCGAACACTTATCTCTGAAACCACCTTACTAACATGATTCTTACAAGAAAAGAACCTTACCTCTCGGAACGTTCGACGGAATACGGAAAATAGGCGTGGCCTCCTTCCTCGCGTGTACTCCGTGCGGTGTCCTTATTTGCCGTGCGATTTAGATGGAGATTTGAGGGATTAACTTGCTTGGTTTATAGCTGCTGATGAAGGGGATAATATACTGAATATTGCTAAGGAAAAAGTGGGAAAAATTTTTGTACCATCTCCTTCCATTTATATGAATGCCGAGGGGAAATGATGGGATGATGTAAGTGTGGCGTGGCCACCTTACATTTTGGACACTTGCTAGCTCATGACATAAATTGAGATGAAAGCCTCCCATACTTTATTTCTTCTTAAGCCACGTGGGACTCCAAGTTGTGGAAGGAAATTCTTCCTTAAGAGTTAGGAAAGCTTAGTAAAATTGGGACAATACATAGTGCACGACTATTTGCTACAAATTGGAGATAATTTCCCTAAGTCACACCTTGATTGGAATTTAGGTCACGGCAATTAGGATAATTACAAGATTAATGCTAATTAATCCCTTAACTTATGCTTAATAATTCAATTAAACATAATACTTAATTACCAAAATTATTTCGAACGTAAACGGTACGCCGAAAATAGATTTCGGTAATCTCGACTGAACATAATTAATTCCGAAAATAATAAACGATAACGTTATTATATCGGAACTAAAACGTAATTTATACCGATAAAATATTGGGATATTACAATCCTCCCTCCTTACAAAATTTCCGTCCTCGGAAATTCAAATCATAGATGATACATGAACTATGTACATAGAATAAGGAAATATGTACATCAAAACTGGAAATCGGGAAAACGAGCGCGAATTTCGGACTCTTCCTCCCAAGTAGCTCCGTGGCGATCCCACTGAATACGCACGAGGGGAATATCTCGCTTCCGGAGCTGACGAACCTGACGGTCTAGTACAGCTACCGGTCACTCCTCGTACGATAGATCTGGCTGAACCTGAATATCCGTATGAGGGATGACATGATCGGGGTCGCACACGTACTTACGCAACATCGATGCGTGAAATACATTATGAATGCCTGATAACTCGGGAGGTAAGGCTAGACGATACGCGACCTCGCCTACTCGCTCGAGAACCTCGAACGGACCGATGAAACGAGGGTGCAGCTTCCCTCTCTTGCCGAATCGCACAACTCCGCGAACCGGACGAACTCTGAGAAAGGGGTGCTCGCCAACCTCAAACTGAATATCTCGTCGATGATGATCGGCGGAAGATTTCTGTTGACTCTGAGCTGTCCTGAGTCTCTCCCGGATCAACTCAACCTGCTCTGCTGTCTCCTCGATCATCTTCGGACCGAGTACTCGTCGCTCTCCGACGTCGTCCCAATAGAGAGGGGGACGACACTTGCGACCGTAAAGTGCCTCGTACGGAGCCATCTGATTAGAGGAATGATAACTGTTGTTATACGCGAACTCTGCGTACGGCAACAGTGACTCCCACTTAGCACCCCTGTCAACAACCAAAGCGCGAAGCATGACCTCAAGTGTCTGAATAGTCCTCTCTGACTGACCGTCCGTCTCCGGATGGTAGGCTGAACTGAACTCAAGCTTCGTGCCCATCGCCTCATGTAAGCTGTGCCAGAATCGACTGACGAATCTGGGGTCTCGGTCTGATACAATCGTGACGGGCACTCCGTGGAGTCGAATGATCCCACGGGTATATATCTCAGCCAACTTGTCCAGAGACATCTTCATCGAAACGGGTAAGAAATGCGCGACCTTAGTCAATCTGTCGACCACGACCCAGATAGCGTCATGATGTTCAGACGACCTCGGCAATCCCGTAACAAAATCCATAGTGACTTCCTCCCACTTCCACCTCAAAATCGGCAGTGGCTGTAGGAGGCCAATCGGACTCTGATGCTCGGCTTTGACTTGCTGACAGATAAGACACCTCCTGACGAACTCGGCGACGTCCTTCTTCAAGCCTCGCCACCAGAACGACCCTTTCAGGTCGTGATACATCTTCGTGCTCCCGGGATGGGCCAGATAGGGTGCGGTATGTGCCTCTGATAGAATTTCTTTCCGTAACGCCTCGACCTTCGGGACCACGATCCTGCCTCTGAACTCCAAGGCACCATCGGTGCCTAGCTGAAAATCCTGTACACCTCCGGCACGAACCTTGGCCTCCATGACACGAACAAACTCGTCAGAAGCCTGCTCTCGCCGGACCCTCTCTCTCAGTGTCGGCTGAAGCTGCATAGCACTGACACTGGCACTGGTACTCCCCGAGACAACCATGGGAAGTGCATCGATCGCCTGAAGCTGCATCCGGGCAAACTCATGAATCAACGGACTCTGCTGCGTAATGACGTACGTCAAGTCACCCTTTACCTTACGGTTTAGGGCATCTGCGACGACGTTCGTCTTTCCCGGATGGTACTGGATAGAACAATCATAATCCTTGACCAATTCGAGCCAACGGTGCTGCCTCATATTAAGCTCCTTTTGCGTGAAGATGTACTGTAGGCTCTTATGGTCTGTGAAAATCTCGCAGCGTCCGCCATAAAGATAATGTCGCCAGATCTTCAGGGCATGAACGACTGCTGCTAACTCCAAGTCGTGCGTAGGATAGTTCTGCTCATGAGGCTTAAGCTGACGTGAAGCATACGCAACGACCTGTCCGTCCTGTATAAGGACACATCCCAAGCCCTGTCTCGAAGCATCGCTGAAGATAGTGAAACTCCGAGAAGGATCGGGAATAGTCAACACCGGTGCTGTAGTTAATCTCCTCTTGAGCTTCCAGTAAAACTGGAATGTACAAGCTTACTTAAAGCTTATACTTACTGATTGCATGACTTGAGAATCCAGTAATTTAATACTGAATAAGAAACTTGATCTGAACTAAAGAGGCATCAATTCACAATTAAGTGAATTGTAGAATACTATTGACTGAGAAGGGACACTTTTCTGAAAGAAAGTGTTCCACTGACAAGACATGATCTCAAAACGAAATTCTGAAATATGTTGGTCATCCTCTCCTGGCTGCTGGCGGATCTCCACTCGGAATGCTGGTGGTGAAGACTCCTGTTGTTGGTACACATGGAAGATTCCAGAGATTCACATATGCACACATGAGGATAACTAGCTATATTGGTCCTTACCTTTCATGAATGTCTGCTCGACGACGC